TTAACGTGTATTTTATGTCGGACCCGTTTATTTTACGCGTTTATTTTATTGCGTGCTATTGCACGTAGAAATACATATGTTTATTTCGTTTTTTTACTTCTGATCAATATTTTGGTCATCCTCTTCATCTTATTTAAAATAATTTGTCAGATCAGTTAAACCTACCTTTCACTGATCATGACCATATTTAATTTGGCTACTTTTAGCCAAAAAGTTCAGAGACCTCTCTAAGGTCAATAAAGGAGAATAACTCCTTTTGTTGTAAGTTATTTTCGCATGAGCGTAATTTTACGCTCATTTATAGTCGTAATATGTAACGACCATTGTCATTTTAATATAACTTTGCTTTAACTAATATAATACTAAGTCATCCATCAAAATTAATTGATTGAAATTTTTATGTTATACGTATATATATAAAATATTTGTAACAAAATTTATAATAAACTTATAATAAAATAAAATTAATTGAACATACATTTTTATATTTTTCATTGTATTTTTTCTTTATATTTACTTACTTATTCATTAATTTTTTAAAATATTATATATGATTTACTTAATCAATAACTTAGATTTATAATAGTCAAAGCAAAGTTTCTGATATGCTACACTACATAAATAGATGGACTACGAAAAATTAAAACAAAATCAGCATGTTATAAAGAAACAAATTATTATATAAAATATTAATAAAGTTAATAGCATGTTCTTTATTAAACAATATAAATAATTGACTGTAATAAAGAATTGATAAAAAATAAAGATTTTTTTTCTATATTTATTTAATTTTAAATTTGCATTCTTAAAATGTTGTATTACTATATATTGAAAAGAACTATTCAAGTTAATATACGTATTAAAGTTAATATAAATATATATATATATATATATATATATATATATATTAAATGTAATTTGTTTAATTTGTTGTAGCCCATTTATTTTAAGGTAACGAACCTATAATCTACAATCTATATCTACAAACTCCACAAATCCGTTACCTTAAAATTAAATAAAAGTTTTTGACTCACCGACACTGATGCGCAACAGCGGAGTCGATTTCGAAGCTACGTTGTCTATAACATACAAATATAAAATTCAAATTAGCAGTGTTTAAAATGATTAATATTTTATTATATATATATATATATATATATATATATATATATTTATATTTATATTTATTATTATATTCAATTATTATTGTACGCAACGAATTTTATATTCGATACGAGCAATAATAAACAAGTATATAAATATGGAATAATTTTATAAATTGTAAAAAAACTATTTTTTAAATAGAAACTTTTTTTATAGGATTTATATAAAATCTTTTTCTTTCAATCTCTCTTGTTTAAATCATTTGAATAAGTGAAGCAAACTAATGCAATTTATAATAAGTAATATACAATAATAATACCATCAGGTTGTTCCGCTGGTGCAGGATGCCTCTCCTAGGCCTGCTCCTCCTCTCAGATCGTCAAGTTTGCTTCGTCGATCTATAACATATAAAGAGAAAATTCAAATTGTAGCGGAGTTTAAAATAATTAATATTTCAAAAAATTATTATTGTATGCATTGAATTATATTCGATATAATATATATATATATATATATATATATATATATATATATATATGATATGTATAATAATAATCAAATTAATAAAATAATTCTATAAAATAAAAAAAAACAGAACATTTATTAATAATTCTCTATCTTCACTAATTTTATAAAAGCTTATATTTTTACAAGATTATAGCTTTTATTTAAAAATCTTTATCTTTAATTCTTTCTTGTTTAAATCATATAAATAAAAAATCAAATTACACGATTAATTGTTCAATTTAAATTATAATAAATATATTTAATATATAATTACAAATAAAGAAATTATTTACCATAAGATTGCTCTGCCGGAGCCCGATGCCTCTGCTAGGCCTCCTCCTCCTCTCAGTCTTAAACGCGCGATACTTTTCGGCACTCCCGCACTCACGAGCGATATTTTTATATCACTATTTTCGTTATTTTACGCGCGATACTGAACGGCACTCCCGCACTATTTCGATGCGATTAAAAATTTTATATTTGATCGCGCGATGTATATACTTAATATGTATATATCTTTAACGGCACTCCCTAATATTTATATATCTATCGCGACGCGTTGACGAAGCGCTTACCGTCCGCGGCACGTTGACGGCACCGACGACGCGAAAGGGTACTTAGCTTCCCATTCAGGCACCTTAAGATTTATCATAAATTGGAAAAAATTTAAGATAAACCTCAAGAGACCGTTCAGGTACTAAGCCCTCCCACCGCGACAAGGTGTACCCCATGGGAGGGTTACATTATATATAATTTCATATATAATATAATATATAATTAATTTTGTAATATACTATATACATTTTAATTCGCAAATATAAATGATAAATAAAAATATAAAAGATAAGAGAAAATCTATTATATAAAGCAATGTTTAAAATAATTGTTAGAGAAAGAATTTGATAATATTTGGAACGTCTCATATCACTACCTCACTGTTCGAAGGCCATTGAGAGAATGATCGTAGGTCAGAAACATTACCGCGATATTGTTTATATCGCCAAGGTTGACTATGTAAAGAGAGAATTTGATAATATATGAAACGTCACTACTTTATTGTTCAAGCTAACTGTGCGTGATGATCGTAAGCCATAAAACATCGTTGAAATATTCTATGAGTGAGTTGCCGATTAAGAAAATTTAAAGCATTGATCGAAATTTATAATAATTATAAATTATATTAATATTATTAAGTATCGTTAGAGAAATTATTATTATTATAATTATATAAAGAGAGTATGTTAATTTTTATATATGAAATATTTAAATAATTATATTATTTTAAAAATATTTTATAAAATATTAAAATATTTATATATAAAAGTATTAATTAATAAAAAAAATATAATAAATGCTTTATTATAGATACTTTAAATGTGTTAAAATAAAACCTGGAATATTTATATACATTTATATACATGCATTATATTACGTGATTTTTAGAGCGAATTATATATACCATTGAGAAAATGAAAAAATAATAAACAATATAGCTATTTTGAAAATAATATAAATAATAATAATAAATAAATAATTTTTATAAATTACTCACTAATAATAATAATAAATAATTTTTATAAATTACTCACCGCATATCTCTTTGACTGCTTCAGGCTTTCACTGCTCTCTGAGTGTCCGATGTCCTTCTTTTTTCTTCTTCATCCTTTTCTGTTTTCTCATAGCACTTATATTCACTCGCGAACAAACAATTAATTATATTTAGTCATATACTATAGAAACGATCGCGAGACTTTTGCACGGCATTCCCGATCGTGGAATAATTACGAGAAACGCACATTAATATATCGTATAAGGGATAAAAAAGTGCGATTTGCTCTACAATAGTAGCGAATTATATTTCAATACTAATCGCGATCGCGTTTAGGAAAAGAATTCAATAATACGAAGCGTTTTATATCACTACTTTGCCGTTGGAATGTCGTGTGAATAATAGAAGGTCATCTATGTATTTATAATTTTTGCCTCTTTTGTTTCAATTTTTATTTGGAATAATGAAGGATCGCGTTTCGATGGATGTATCATCGCCATATAATTTCATGTTATTTATTAAGAGTTAATTAATTGTTAATTGTAATAGTCGTAGCGAATATATTTCGATATTAATCGCGATCGCACTGTTAGAAAAATAATTCAATAATACGAAGTGTTCCGTATTACTACTTTACTACTGGAATGTCGCCGTGCGAATGATACAAGGTCTTCGCCTATGTAAACAATACAGCGCTACGTCATCAAGGCCGAATGTCGTGTTTTTGACTTCGCTGCCGAAATATTTTACGCGTACTATGACGTACATATACGAAAATTGAATTTATATACAAGTATATTTTTAAAGTCACACACACATGTACACACAGATTAATTATTTATTAAACGATTAATATACATCACAAGACTTTCCATTACGTTAATTATTCAATTTTGTCATTCGATCGTTTTACTGCGTGTTCTCAGACGAATTATATATATTTAAATCATCACATAATTATATGATAAAACATCGGACGAAATATTCTTAATTATAAATATTAAAAGAAGAATAATTATTGTTCTAAGGATTGCAACAAAATGATAATTTATAATTTTGATTCCGGTCACACATATCGATTCTTAATTGCATTTGATTCTTTTTAATTGCTTAATTAAATGAACGCATCACGCAAAATACGTGTTTCGAAATTATATTTTAATTATATTCCAATCGTATAATCGAGTATTTCGAATAATGGAAAGAGCAATGGTCAAATCAATTATTTATTAATAATAAAATTGTAACTTACGAATGTATTCCATTTATTCCATACGTTAACATCGCGGCAACAATGAATAAACTTTTAAAATAAATAATCAGTATATCGAAACAGTTTTACCGATTTAATTACTGATATAAAAACTGATCAATTGACCAATTAGTGAAACTGTTTCAATATACTTGAAGGATCGATTCTCGACGAACGATTCGAGTGTTCCCGCGAGAAATCAAAATTGAGTTTGGACGCGTGACGCGCGTAAACATAATATAATAATTCGTCATATAATAATTTTTTTAAGAAAATAATCAGTATATTGAAACAGTTTCACCAACTAGTCAATTGATCGATTTTTATATCAGTAATTAAATCGGTAAAACTGTTTCGATATACTGATTATTTATTTTAAAAGTTTCATTGTTGCCGCGATGTTAACGTACGGAATACATTCGTAAGTTACAATTTTATTATTAATAAATAGTTGATTTGACTATTGCTCTTTCCATTATTCGAAATACTCGATTATACGATTGGCCACTGCCTTATTGCTCGACTGTGATTGGTCGATTCATTTAAGTCTTAAGTTTACTGTCTAAGTTTTTATATGCTCCAGGCTTTAGTTGTTAGTGACGATTTTATTCTATGTCTGATCATGATATATTGGTAGAAAGATATAGTGCAGCTTTTATTTTTATACATTGAATTGTAATTTTAGAAAGCTGAGACGGACAATAAATAGTAGTAGTTTCAAGAAAATGACAACAATCGCAAGAATTTCACAAGCAAATATCGTGCAAGCTACAAGGAAACATACAGCTACTGTGTTTTTTTTCCACGGTTCCGGTAAAGTAACATAGTAATCTATCTGATTATAATATAAAATGAGCAGATGAATTAAAGTAAAATTTCTTAAATTAAAGTGAATAAATTCTATATTACTTGAATTGATTCTATATTACTAAATTTGTGTTAATTTATGTTTTATATTTATTGAAAGGTGGCACAGCAGAAGATGTCAAAGAATGGATTGACATTCTTAACAGAGAAAAACTACAGTTTCCACATATAAAATTAATTTATCCCAGCGCACCAAGTCAACCTTATACACCAAATGACGGAATGGTATAATTATGATTAATCTTGGAATATATATAATGGCATATTTATAATATGGTTTTTAATTAATATCAATTATAATATGGTTTTTAATTAATATTGATATAAACCACATATTTAAAACTTTTTAAAGATTCAGAATTAGCGGTGCTCTAATTAAGATTCTAACTAAGATTCTAAGATTAAACTTATTCTTTATCTTCTTTTTATAGCTTTTTGTAAAGTTTTATTAAAATTTTATTGTAGATGCAAAATGTATGGTTTGATCGTATAGCAATATCTAATCAAGTGCCAGAACATATAGAGTCAATTGATTCTATGTGTCAAAATATATCAGAGTTGATCGATAAAGAAGTAGCTAATGGAATTCCATTTAACAGAATAATTTTGGGTGGCTTTTCAATGGGTGGTTGTCTTGCATTGCATTTAACATACAGATACAAAACATCCATAGCTGGTTGCTTCGCTATGTCTTCTTTTCTGAACAATGGATCTATAATCTATGAGGTATATTTATACAATGAAATTATAAATATTTGGCATAAATATACTATTATAAAGAAAATTCATATTATAATATGATATATAATATTTGATTATCAAAAAATAATTATGAAGTACATTTATATAATAAAATTGTAAATATTTCACATAAACTGAAATATATTGTTATAAAGAAAATTCATATTATAATATGATATATAATATTTGATTATCAAAAACTAATTGAGGAGATCTTATAAAATTAAAATTTTCAAAATGTAATACGTTATACACTATAATTAAATCCTAAAAATATCTATTTTACACAAAACTTAATATTATTTTATGTATTTATTTTATATATATATATATATATATATATATATATATATACACATTTTAGCACTTAAAAGCAAGGCCAGAACATAATAAGGTTCCACTTGTTCAATATCATGGTACAGTAGATACTTTAGTTCCTATTAAATGGGGTGAAGAGACTGCTAACAATTTGAAGGAGCTTGGCGTAAATGTAAAATTTACACCGCTACAAAATATTGATCATGAATTGAGTCGTGGAGAGATTCAAAGTTGGAAAGATTGGCTCCTTAATATCTTACCAGATAAATAATGTATGTTAATTTTAAAAATATTAATATTATTATTGCCAAAAGTGTAAAATAGCATGTTGAATATAATTGTTTGTTTTTAAGAATGTGTATCTATAATTTTATCAATCATAAAACAGGGTTGAATATGGTGCAGTTACTTTATAAAACTAACTCGTAACTATATGTTGTTTTGTTTTTTAAAAACTCGTTACCATATTTATTACTAATTTCCAAAAATAACGAGTCATTGCAATTTTCTTTTCTTTTTCAATATTCCTTTTTTTAATATGCTAAAAGCTAAATTATACATACATATATACATAAAATTTATATTTTAAATTTATATTTTAAACGTTTTTTTTTAATTAAAATATAAAATTGATATACAATTTTTCTATTAATGTCCATTTTTGTTATTAATATCAATATCATTAACAATATTGGTACAAAATATATAATAATTTGGATATTTTTACTTTTTATATATCAAATAAAGTATATCTAAAACAATATCAAAATAAGTATTAAAATAAATCTACATTTAAACATACGAGAAGAGACAATAATAAATATTATTGTTTTGTTTAATAATATGGTATAATTATAAAATTTATTTATAATGGATAATAGTTTTGATGTATTTTTTAAATGAATTTATTAAATATTGTGTAATATGTGTAAATCATGCTGTGTAAGTTCAAAAGCAATTGTTGAATTCATTCAAAAAATGTACCAAGTTACGTTTTCTATTTCAAATAGATGTATTAACACTGTTATCGAGAAAAAATAATTATAGTTATAACATGATTATAAATAACACATTACTTTTCAATTAATATAATTTATATCATAAATTATATATTATTAATTATTAAAAGAAACTATAAATTTGCAAAAGCATGTCTGACTTTATGATGAGACATTATTATATTATTATTAAACAGTATAATACATCAAATAAAATACATCATGAATAATATCAAGTATTGATAAATTGAGCTCGACCTTCAAAATATTAAAATCGTTTTGTGTCTTATTATTTCATTATTAGGGAATGAGAATTTAATTTTTTTGTAATCATAATACATTAAAAAAGAGCTTAAAATTTACAAATATGAAAAATACTGTAATGAATTAAAAACTAACAGTATTTATATTACATCAGATTTTTATAGATTTTGATTAATTTGATATATTTAAGAAATTATTTGACGACAAAAAAGCCGACAAAAAATTTGTCATTCAGCACAATTATATGTAAAACTATGTGTGAAAAAGTTTTCTATTGACTCTATAAATATTTCCGTTATTTGAGAAAACCGAGAATTTGAATAAAATCAATGCTACCCGCTTGACCTGCTTTTATATGAAAGCGTGCTCGTATTATTGGTTACCTATAATTATCACGCTTTTTCTACAATTAATCTTAATTTTTTTACATTAAATCAATTTGATCAATTTTAGCATTTTAGCAATTTGATCAATTTTAGCATTATTATTTTTCAGAATGTCAATTGATACAATTGTTAAATTCACATGGAATATGCTCACAATTCATTTCATATAAACAGATGTTACTTGAATCAATTCTTGGATTTTTTCTTGAATTTTGAAATGCCCGAGATGCTTTTAAATGTTGAACATTAATCGTTAAGCTTCGTAATACATGTGTATGTGTTTGGTGTCGACATTCAGCAAGCAAAATGTAAGCGACATACGGGTATTTTAGTAATAGATTTTATCAATATATTGAAGTAGATCAGCATTAATTGCAATTTGTTAGACAACATTTTTATTAAAAATATATAACATTATGGCAGATTGGCGACAGAGATCAAGCAGATCTGCTATGTTGTGATATTATAGTTTGAAAATTCTTAAAATCTTGGTCCTTGGGTCGCTTGGCCCTCGATATCATGGAAAAAAAGTAGGTCTGCATAACGACGCAGGGTAGTTGCAGTCACCCTGACCTTTTCATTTCCTTTCTTTGCGCTGTTACTATATCTTAGAATTTGGCACTCGCAGTGTCGCTTTTTTTGTTTTTGAACTAAAAATCTTGTGCGTTACAATCCTTATAAAACGATATTTATAAGCAAAAATTTAAATTTAATGCCTCTTTGAATAGAGATAGAAGAACTTACTTTAAATTTTAATAAAATTTAATTTCTTATATAAGAAAAGAGAAAAAAGGTAGACAAAAATAAATTTCTGAGTATATTTTTCATTATTTTCTTGAACAGATTATTATGTATTTAGACAAGAAAATTGTGTGTTTATATGAAGTAAAATATATTCTTATAATAGTCGCGCATGTCATAAACTATATCGAGAACATAATATATTGAGTTCAGTCAATTGTATATATGTTAACTTTTACAATATTTGCATAAATTAAAAAAAAATCATTGTTATTTGATATGACAAAAAATAATTCGCGTCAAAATTTTTAAATTGCAGTATTTCCCCGCATCGGAGATTAAGATCGCGATCCTCCCTCCTCCAGCTTTCCTTGCCATCCCTTTTAGCGTGTATATGCACGCATGCGACGAAAGTGAAGAAGGGGCAAATCGCGCCGACGAGTCCATCGGCAACGAGTGCGCAGTGAAACGAAGAGGGTTGAACTGCGACGGAATTGCTGCGCCTTTCGGATAACTCCGGATGGGGTGGGTGGTGGATAGCCCCACTGGCCGCCTGGCGTTCTCGTTCTCGCTACCGATGTCACGTCATGACACGGACGTTTATTTTTCGTCGCAGTATCGACTTTTATGAGAAAGATATAAAGCACACGTTATCAGTTATTAGTTGCAATACAAAATACCTCGATGTGGAATCGATGTTTAACAACGAGGAACTTGCGAGGAGGGTGAACATGAAAGGGAACGGATTAGTGCGTGTCGAGCTAAAAATATTCCTATAGGGGGAAATCTTTAAAAAGAACGAGACAATATAGACACATACACATAGAAAATATATATACATATTAATATATATATACAGGGTGGAAAACTTGTATTGTAAAAACGTGGAACTGATATATACACAATGATGGTGATATTTGCGACGAGCAATTTCTACGGAGTGAACATAATAAAATTGTAAGAAGGAAAAGGAAGGGCAGAGTGGACGCTCATCGATGTGCAAATAAGGTGATTAAAGTAGATGTAGTCTGGACGTGTTGAGAATAAATGTGGGTCATCACGAATAGTTTTCTCGATGAATAAAATGAAATCAGAGTTTCTATTCAAAACATGAATAGAAATTGAATCACTAATAAAGATATAATTGAATGCTGAAGATGGATTTGCGTCATTAGAAATGTGTTTTTCATCGATGAATAATACAGAAAATAACCTTGGACAATATAGAAAACTTAATTACAATTAAAGAAATGCGTAATCGAAAAATAATTTAATTGCATACATAATAGAATGAGAAAGATACATAATAATTAATAATTTATTAATAATAATTAAATTTATATAATATATATGTATCATTAATATTAACGATTACATTATTATACGAAATAATATATGTTACATAAATAGCACAAGATAACAGGTGATATATCAATATAATAAAAGTTAAATGAGATTATGTAATGATTTCATCGAGGAAACAATATCTTTTTTATTATTTTCTCAGTGTGTCCGGAGACGCGCCGGTGAACGCTCGATGGTAAATAATATGGCGCGTGTTGGGCCGCAGTTGGTGACGTCAAGGATTGAAAGGTATGTCGATGGTTCGATGTAAAGAGGCTGGGCAACGAAAGTGGATACAACGAAATTTCCCAAAGGACATAAAATAAATTTCCCGAAGGGAAAAAATCAATATTCGTGTTACAGAAGTAATAAAAAAAACGTGAGGAACGTTCTCCATATTACTGAAGCAGAGTCGCATAATAAAGCTTTTTTAATCATTTTTTTGAATGGTTACATAATCTGTTTTTAAAGAAATCTTTTTCGAAGTGAAAGGAATTTGAAGAGATTCATCGCTCATTATTTTTCAAAATTGAAGTAAGTCTCTTCTATCTTTTTAAATTTTCAAAATTTCTTCTCTATACACGAACATGTTATATAAACATTTTCTACATACTTAAACTTTTGTAATATTTTAAGAAACTAATTAACTAATTAACAAGCCATTTTTTGAAGATAGAAAGAAACATAATGTAATTTCTCAAGTATTTTCCTTAAGAAAATTTTAATGTATTTTTCTTTTCAATTTCCAGACGAGTCTTCAAATTTCCTCTCGTATAATGCGAAACATTTTTCTTAAGAGATAAGAAAATCGAGTTGATTGTATCGATTTTTCATTTGAAAGACTGAATTATCTCGGAAAATAGGGCGAACACATCTAAGAAACGCTGTGAAGAGGTAAATCAAGATAAATCTCAAAGAGAGTGGTGCAGCGATCCAAAGGGTTGCGATGTATCGTGTGCAGGGTTGATGAGAGGGATAAGAAAGCCAAGAGCGAGGTCGCGACAAGTGGCGTTCCTCCCGATTGAGAAATAGAGATATCGTTGGAGAAGTAACGGAGCAGGCTGATACACACAAAGTGGGGACATTGTGGAAATGGGTCAAGAGTGTTTTTGAAGAATGGCGATGGCAGTGTTCTTGGTTTCCACTTAATGTGCCCCGCATCGAATAGACTGCACGAGAAATCGGTGCGAGTACGCTATATCGAGTGTTATCGCGGATAGATTAGATTTGTGCATGAAAAAGAGACAGTCCTCTCTGAGAAATTGAGTATACAAATGAGCATTGCGTCGTTAATATAGTCTAATGGAAATAAACGCGGATTGTTTTGGTGAAACTATAACTTTAATTATTATAAATTAAAATTTTGCGATTTTATGACTTTACAGTTGACTATTTTTATTTCATTTGGTATAATAAAAGTTCATTCTTTTTTTTAATATTCATAAATTAAAGATTAATGTGAAGTGACTTGAGTTTTAACTTGGAATATCGCGGATTGGATTGTGTTCACTTCCTCGTAATTTTGCGGTCCGTTTAAAGAACCGTAAGTTATTTTAAATGCTAATTTCAAGATAAACGAATTCGAAAAAAGTGCAACGATGTCAGTATCAAGGAGCTAGCTAATCTTCACGATTTAACAAAAAGCAAACTCTTTGAAGATGCAACGAAAATAACAACGCAGATACGCAAGTTCGACAACGCGCAAGAAATGCTTCGTTTATCGCGGCAGAAATACATCCGATCGAAATCGATCTACATGTTGAAGACTGAGAATTGTCAATATAATCGCGTTGCCTCTATTGTAGCAGTTTTTGTCGGGGAGACATAAATCTTTTCTCTTTTGTTGAAAGATCCATCAAATTTTTAACCATTTTCATGGTCTACGGATCGCGCAGAGTCACGGAGTCAGCAACCACGGGAATTGCTTGGCTTCACAATATTACTGCTCAAGGTAATCCGTTTTTATCCGATTTTATTTATATATTTATAATAGTATCATTTATTTAATTATATAATTTTAATTTTTTTTAATGATCTACAATTAATATGATTTTCTTAAATGATTTTATTTTTAGAATTAAAATGCGGATAAATAAATAAATAAATAAATATATATATATATATATATATATATATATATTTTCACTTATCCACATTTTAATCGCGTTATAATATATATATATATATATATATATATATATATATATTTTTATAATGCGCTACAGAATATAAAGATATTAATATAATAAAGAGACTATATACATATTAAATTTCATTATATAAAAAAGCAATTTCTAGAATAGGTCATAGCAAATATGAAATAATATCATTTAATTTATATTTTTGTATCTCGTAAACTTAATGGAAAGTGGATAATTTTGGTACATATTTATTGATCTTGTGATATTTCGATATATGAGAAACAAATTTTATTTTTTTAGAATAAATAATGATAGAAATAAAAATGCTAAAATGATAAAAAAAAAACTTCCTAATTTACATGATTCATATTATCTAGGTAGTTATTATTATTTCGTTCCATCTTTAGCAATGATATAACAAGAGAATAATAACGAACAAGAGGTTATAGATCAAATATATAGATTATGAATCGCATTGCTTTGCTGAATTAATGATATCAATGTGCCAAGTAAATTTTTTATAACTTGCATTGTTTTTATATAATAATCATAAATTATATATAAAAATTACTATTTACATAATTTAACAAATTATGTAAAAAGAACTTATAATAAACTAATAATAAACTTATACTATATTAAATTATGATTTATCAAAATGCAAATTAATATTTTAATAATAATAAATTACAATAAATAACATTTAAAATAATAGGTTATAAATAATAAAAGGTAACAAATTTCTCAAAAAATACACTACTTTATAAAATTGACGATGATATAAATTACTACTTGCACCATCACTTTCTCGAGCTACAGACCGGTCAATTTCTTATCAGGTTGTGTTTTTTTATGATATCTTTAATCTCGGAGTGCGCCACATACTGGTCACGTAGATTAGACGATTGTTATAAAACTTCTTTACACGCGACATACGCAATTGATCGACTGTCCAATGCTTGCCCTACTCTCTCAGCCTATGTAACATTACGATCACCACGTAAAGCTTCACTTTCACCTCGCGGCCGTCAACCAGGGTGAAAACTATGAAATTTGACTTATTAGCATAAGAGAGAGCCCATACATAACATTCGTCCGCGTTTACATAACACATTCATTGTCATTCATAAGATATACGATAAATAAAAAGTAACTTGATTGCTTTGTGATTTTGAAATTTTAACATATTTTAACGTTATATTAAAAAAAATATTTATTATTATATTAAAAAAAAAAATTATATATATATATATATATATATATATATATATAATGTAATTAAATTTTAATTTACAGACGTGTGCACATTACATACATACACACACACTAATTCTCTATATATTTTTATATAAAAATTGTTAAAAAATTTCCAGTTTTCATATTATTTTTAGTGAAGTTTATTTTAATTTGACCATCAAGTTGTATTTTATATTAAGAATTAGAAAATTATAAAGAGAAAACTAGAAGCTTGTAACTAATGAAAAATTTAATTTAGATTTTAGATAATCTGAAAAATTTGAATGAAAATTTTTAAAAATCTGTAAAAATATCTTGTATATACCCAACATAATAATATCATCATATGAAAAAGGACAACTGTTAAATTGTAGGCGAGATGAGCAGCAGCGGTGGATTCGGCGTCGGCGTAGGCGTCGCCGGCGGACCAACCCTCGCAGCCGCTCAGCAGGGCCAAGGGGTGGCTGCCCTCCTAGTGATGCTTGCCGTTCTCTGCTTTATTTTTGCTTACTGCTGCTGGGGCGCTCCCTTCTGCCGGTCTCTATGTAGACGACATTGTTGTTGTCGTTTGGAGGACCCTGAACCAGATGCGCGGTTCAGCGGCAGCGATCAAGCGATGGTTGCAACGCCGACGATTATTCTCTTGCCGCATGGCAGAATGCTCGTTGTCGACGGTACAATCTTCACACAGTTCCAGGCCGATCCTACAGGTAAAATTAAAAATTTTATATTTCTTATTTCCAGCTAGATGAAAATTAATTAAAATAATAAAATTGGTCATAGTGTATGAAAATAAAAAATAAAAAAAAATAAATTTTTTTAGAGATTTCAAATAATATTTTTAATTCTCTCTATTTTAAAAGAATATACAGAATGTAACAAGTATATCGAAAAATAAAAAAAAAGTTGTAGTCTTTCATTATGAAGAAAGCACATATCAGAAAAGAATTTATTTATTGTTTTTTTAAAAAGAAACTGGCTGATCAAATATTATGGAAAGAAAAAATTATAGTATATATAATAGTATATATAATTCATGTATTCTTTGTAAAAATTTCGATAAATCTTTTAGAACAAATAAGAAAGATGTGGATTTGATATTTTTGATAGGTTTAGATTTAGTGGAATTAGGCGATAGTGTGTTGCGCGCTCAGAGAAATCCACGAAGCGTGAATCGTCACCAGTTACAAAGTAGTCAGGGTAGCATCCTCGAAATGGACGCCGAGACACCCAGTAAGGATAGTTTGGGCTCTGTAGGATGTTTTCCGCCTCCTACTTATGAGAGTATTTATGGTAAAGAGGAGAGCGATATGCCTCCCTCTTATTCTGACATTCTTTTACACAGGTACATAATTACTAGTAGTAGTAATATATGTGAATTAGAGAGCTATTAATTATTACTATTGAGTGCCAAATTTAATTCAATTTCCAGATTCGCTAATTTGCCGCACGAAATCGATATGCGCGGTTACTGTCGTGACAGTAAAGAGGAGATCGAAATGCAGAGCTTAGACAGTTGTCCACATATCATCGGTAATCCGCTGAACTCGGTACCTGGGTATCATCCTTACGCCACGGTGACGAGCCTATCCAGTTTACAAAGCTATCCACGACGGAATGTCTCACGCAATCCGTCCATCATCAGCAACCCGTTGGACAACTTTTATGTGGATAACGAGCTTGGCCTGTATCGGCTCAGTCGAGAAACGATGCCACGTGTCTCTAGTAATGATACAAATCTTGAGACTTTCCACGCATCCCATGACGAAGTGTCGTTCCGCGTTCCGCTCGATGAGAACGAAAACCACCGGCATGCCGGTCGTAATAATCATCAGGTCGTCGGTAATGAGCTGATGAATACGAGAAACCGTGCTCGCAGCGTCTCCAGGCTAAGCCAAGACAGTCGCAGGAGTTCACTGAACCGAGACGGAGATCAACATCAGGTCTTTGTCAGATTGCCCGACCCCGAGGAGGTCGAAACTGTTGCACGAGATAGATGTGTCGATGAAGATCAGCGATCACCTCGGATGTATCGGGAAGATCAAAGCGCCAGGAACTCATGCCTGGATCATTCACAATTGCAAGACGAAGTCAATCGTAATGTCGTTGACAACGATCCTAGATATTTTGCAAGGAACAGATTGGAAAATGAAGACAGAAGTCGGGACGAAGCCGAAGGAGTTCAATTTCCTGACGAAGAAGCTGGTAATTTTGGCGCACTCGCTGATATTCGTGAGAGCAGAGTGTAATTTAACTTTAAAATGTGCGTAATTCTTTTTCGAGTGATTGGTAAGAAGAACTTAGGCTCAGATTTCCTCGAATTTCAAGTGAGATTTTTAAGAGTACGTACATAGAAAATTTCTAATTCTTTTTAAAAGTTCGTTAACCTAAATATAAAGAAATATCTACACTAATATTATTTCATCTCCTTCAAGGACTTTCTTTGTAAGAAAAAAAAACATTTTGATTTGCAATTAGTATTAATATTTTTTTTTATTTCATGCAAAGAATCTTAACTTATACCCTTTATATCAATTTTAAATTTGATAAATGTTATACAATGTTTCACATTATAAATAAGAATAATCAAGTGATGAATGAAAGTTGCTGCAAAAATTCTTTTGACATATAGCATTATTAGCATATTGTTTAAATGCTGTTCATATAAACAAATTAAAATTCCGAGTTAAAAATTGGAAATGGAGTTGAGAGAAATTATAATTATAAATATCTCTCTCGCGGAAAATATTACTTATTGTGTGAAAAATATATATCACGATGTTAATAAAATGATATATATACATATATACATATATATGTGACAATATAAAAATTGTACGTGACACTACAAATCCGTTACACACATACACGTACATATACACATGTAACATATTTCTGGAAAACGATCATACCATATGAAACTGAACAACAAAATTTTTTTGAATATCGAAAAGAGCTTTTGCACAATGAGAAAAAGAATCGGAAAGAATGTGAAGATATTCCTTTGTATTGTTGCAATATGAAAACCTAAACCATGACAAATATCAGAATACTAAACAGTTATTATATTCTTACAAAATAAAATGTAAATAGAAAAGATTTTGATGAATATCATGCGATAAATTATATTAATTAAAGTCCTTAATAAAAAAAACAACTGCAAAAAATGAACATTAAGTGATTCTTAATATAAAGATATTTTCATATATTCAAAAATTATTTAAGTTTAAATGAACAACTCATAGTAAAATTAACTTAATCCGTCCAAGCTTTAATAAGTTTCTTAAACATCCATTACTGACAACAATTTGAGAAAAAATATTTGTTCTTTTCTTTAATATTATATATAAATTAAGTAGATGCTAATTATTAAATAATTGTAATATGTTTGTGTGTTTGTATTATTTATAGAATAACACATTCTTTTTTGAATAGCACTATTTATATGAGACGTACACCAAATAATTTTAGTATTTATGAAAAACGATGAAGCAAAAACTATAATAAAAGAAAAAAATAAAAATTTGCATTAAAAAAAAGGGAATGTATCATGCATGAATAGAAGTTTCAAAAAATAAAGAAGGAACTGAAGATATATAATCAGATACAGCAAAGTATCAAAATGTTATGTTATGTTAAATGGCATGTGTGCTCCAGAAAGTGAATGATAATAACAGTTGATTTTAGATACATTTCTTATGTACACATTATATATATATATATATATATATATATATATATATATATATATAAGATAATATAGAGAATTATATAAGTTGTACACAATTATCATTGTTGTCCTATTTTGCAAGGAAAAATCACCGACCGAATACTAAAAGAATAAAATCCTGTGTGAAGCATATATAATACTATGTGCCTTCCTAGTTTTTAGATTGCTAAATGGAGAATATATGTAGGCAATGGGATTTTGTTTCATAATAGTTATTATAACAAATTTTTTTCTTTTTTTTTTAAATTTAAACACATTAATAAAACAATAAAAAAGTTATTGCTTTGCAAAATAATCTTAATCTAATAGAAAAAATATCTTTGAATTCAAATAATATCAATAAATTGATAAGATATCAATAAATTGTTTCTCATAATGAAAATTATGTAAAACTTACATTGTACATACATATATTGTTATACCTAAACAAATATTTACTGAATCACAAAAAGATCACAAAATGAATTATAGAGAGGAAAGCAAGGTCAGCTTATAGCATACGAATGCACAAACTAATAAATTGATAAATTATAATTTTTAAAAATTCATATATTTACATATTTATCTAGAAAATATCAATGTTTCGAATTGAGTTCATAATGTACATAGTCAATATAATCAACATTTTATAAAATTAACTATAATTACCTGGAAAGATCATATGAAAAACATTTATTTTCAATCCATATCACTGTTCATGTCTTCAGGAGCTGAAGAATCCTCTTCTTCTACATCCTTCTTGTCCCAATCTTTTAACTTGGCTCCCATAACAAAATCATCTCGTAGGACACTCCATATTTTGTCATCCTTCAAAAAACCAATTTCTTTATAATTATATGTTAAATGTAAAAATATGTACCAATATCAATAAACACAATTATGGCCTTGATAAGAAGTTTATAAGTTTAATACATATTAAAAAAGATCAATAATATATTATACTATTATACACAAGTATATTAATATATTATAAAATTTTATATTTTGAATATATTTTAATATCACTTATATATTACAAAATGTAGTATATAAAAAAACTTTGCTTACTTTGTTTTTATTATTTGTCTGTTCTATAACTTTTTCAGATTGAACAGTATTATCTATCGATATGCTTTTACTGCCACCCATAAGAATGTCAAGAAAAGCATTTTTATCGATACTTTTGAGTACCTGCTCGCGTTTTCTTTCTAATGGTCCTGCTTGTGTTAATTTTTTGCTAATATCTGTTTGTTGCTGTTTTACTGCATTAAATAATTGTACAACTCCTCTGTAAAATATAATACAGAAAATTTACTGACAAACACACAAAAGCTAATAATAAAAAATTTGCAAGTATAATATGAATTACCTTGTGGCTATTTTCTGCAGCATTTTTTCACGTTCTTGATCTGTAATGGAAGGTTTTACTCGAATGCCAAGATTCTTTTCTTTTATCTTTGGCTTAGTGTGTACAGCATGCTCTCCTGTTTTGACACTAGCTTCTTCTATCTCCGTTACATTTTTACTACCATCAATTTCAAAAGAAATATCTTCCTTTTTCTCTTTTACTTTTACATCACACAATTTCTTTGCTTTAGCTAGTACTATTGTCTTTTTTCTCTTTGGCTTATTTGTTCTTAAAATTTTTTGCATAACATCCGCCCATCCTGTGTTTGATGTAGATTTAGCATCATGTAATGATTCTGTATCGCTTTCATTCATTTCTATTAAATTCATTTTCCAGGAAACCGTGAGCGAGAAGCATGCACGTGCATGGACAACAAATTATCTCTTGGAAAAGCAAAAATCAGTTTTAGCGCCACCTACTATCGAACTTCGCTATGAGCGAACTAAAATCGGTCACGTGACAAAGAGTGATCAATAGGAATACATTCGGAAATCCGTGAGATAGAGGAGCATTTAATTGACCAATCAGGATAAAGAGAGCAAAGAGTTTTTTGTCCTGATTGGTCAATTAAATGCTACTTTACCCTGCAAATAGAATTTTTAGAACGCGCCATATTGAAAATTATGAAACATACTGCACACATATACAATATACAGGGTGTCTTAGCTCGTACACCCCTTTTAAAATGAAAATAAATGGTTTTTATTAAAAATCGCAAACAATTTTTAAGTAAATCGGATACGCTCTATCAAATGATGATATTTTCAACTTTTGATTCCGACCGGAAATACGCCGTCCATTTATTTCATCACAGTTATTTTCAAAGTCAATTTTAAGATTGACAGAGGAGAAAAAACGTTTGAGACAAAAGTTCCTTATTTTTTCACGTACAATTCGAATCTGTAATAAAAAGTATCATGTTTCCCTAAAAAAATTCAACTTCCGATCCGGATGGCGTATTTCCGGTCGGAATCAAAAATTGAAAATATCATTATTTGATCGTACCCGATTTACTTAAAAATTGTTCGCGATTTTTGATAAAAGCCATTTATTTTCATTTTAAAACGGTCTGGAATACCTTGTATATATGTGTGTGTAATTTTTTCTATCAATTAATGTTATAATAAATGCATTTATAGTCTGCATCAAGTGAAATATATAAAATTGCGAAATCGCAATGTAGCCAAAAGATTCTTAGATGACTTTATATTTATTATCAAGTAGTGTTGACATAATAAAAGATTGACAGATGAGTTATCATGGAATATATAATCATTTTTATTTATTACACCGTTCTCTCGTTTTAGAAGACTTAATCGCGATGTCGTGCAAGAAATAATTATATTCTTTACTTAAAGCAAAAATATATTTTTATTCAAACTGTTCCCTTCGACATTTGCTCGGTGATAGAATGCGGAAAAACCCAAGTTGCAAGCTAGATATAATTAAATCTGATTTCATCGCACGCAGTTAATTTTTCGTCACGTTCAACGCATCTGTCAATTATTTAATTGCGCTGTGGATCCGGTTAAATTGAATAAATACACATTCCCGCTCATCTTACTTGATACGCAATAATATTCGCGAGTCAGCGCTAATATTATCAGGTCACCTTCCCTTGCTGTCTACAATAACTGCACGTCTACATGTAGTGCAGAGTGGTACTAAAAAGGAACAGATCCGCAGATTCGACGGTGCGAGACGTGTGAGTGAGTCAGTCTCCGTCAGTCGTGAACAGACGCAGATAGGGTCGGTTTGGCATAGTCGAGTAGTTGCGTGTATATGTCGCAATAATCAGTCTTATTAAGAGTCTTGGTCGTGAGCAATAGAACGCGCGACGACGCGCGTCCCACAAAATGGCAAGACAAAGTCGTGTGGGTTTCGCGCTCCTCTGTCTGGTGTGTTTTCTCATGCAGACGGTGCGAACGAATTCGTTCAACTATGACGATTCGGTACACGGAGTGCCAGTAACGTTATGGTTGAAAGCGTTGAGAGCCTTGAATAAACACTCGCCCACGCATCACCGGTACAGCAGAGGCGAGATGATAAGTGTGCAGGAATTGGTGAGTTACGCCCATATGATTTCGAGAGATTTTCGCGAAAGATTCGATATCGTATCGTGGTAGAATGGAAGAAATGGATGTGATACCTGAATCTGAGATTTCACCATGTTTTTGTTTTACTTTCGATGCTTTCAAGATAGTCATGTGTCAGATCATATGTCATGGAGACTTGTAAATATAGATGACGATTTAATTTTCTTTGTTTGGTGACGGTCTGCTGTAGAAAGGAGGAAGGACCTTGTTTGCAAATATGACGCATCGCAAAAGTTTATGTGCAAAATATAACGTCAATCTATGATTATTTTTATATTGCATTTTAATTTCAATCAAGTTGTTTATGTGATTTGTATTGATGTATTATAATCTTTTATATAATATATAAACATGAGATATTATCTGTAGACTATATAATTATATGCTTTTTCTTAAAAATAATTATTAGATAATATTTTATATAATGCCTCTTTCATGATTTCTTGCAGGATATGTATAATAAACTGATAATGATATCAAATCATTGTATAATTATAATGATTTTGTTTCCTAGAAATAATATTTTTTCTGAGAAAGATGTTGTTTCTAAAATTTTAAAAATAAAAAAATGTCATTTCTAATTTTGTGTCAAATTCTCAAAAAATTATTAGTGTAAATTTATTTAAATATTTATATAATATTATAATATTTACAAAAATATTATAGTCAGAGATAGGAGAGAGATATTCTAATATTAAAAATTAATATACTTTAATTTACTTTCTAAATTAGCATACATAATTTTCCTATATTATGAAAAAACAAAAGATAGTAAAAAGAAGTTTTGTTTTATTTAAGATTAAAATGTATAATTCTGTTATAAGTTCTTGCAAACTGTTTCATTTCGTTGAATTAACAAGTAGTTTTAAACAAAACTCCCAATGAACTTGGATAAGATAACATTTATTTTATTTTTACAGTTGACCAACGTCATGTATAAATGTAATCCTTTGTATATCTGTATATTAATTCATATCGCTATATATTTTTATACATTGAATGAGATAATGATGAACCAAGATAATGATATTCTGGGTTATCAGGCCAAGTTATACTACTCAGTTGAAGAAATATATGAAAGAGTATTACTACGCAGCAGATTATTAGCTTTACAAAATATATTTCATATTATAATGGCATAACAATTGTTACAATAGCCAGAATAATAATTAGCATTTATTATTCTAATCATATCTAATGATTAAATCTGGGATCTTATAAAATTAATTGATTATGGTAGTTTGCATTTTACTTATACAAATAATTATGTTATTTTTATTGTAGGAGGAGCCACCTTTTAAGCTATATAAGTTTACATTTTATATGAACCCAATATGTGGAATGGAATCTTGTCCCAGGGAGGCCTGTACAATCGATGTGAAACAAAAAGGCGATATAGTAGATGACGACAATATAGAAGCACTGAACGATTCTATTCAATGCATGTACTTTTATACAGCCGAAGCACAGAATGATACGTCGCAGGAACAGCAGAGTTATCAGGAGCAGGAAGATTCTCAGATCACTCAGGAGAACGTGACTGAACAACAGGCAAATAATAATCGAAGCATCGAATTGGATCATGAGATTCAAGAAACTGGAGACGAAAACATCAGACCATTTATTGCTATGCCTGCTTCCGGTAACAACTACTGTCCAGGCTGTCCATATGAGTTGAATCCGAATCTTCCGAGTCTTTTAGTCTTTGCCGAGCAAGCATTAAAATCGATAGACGAACAGACTGCGAATGATTACAAACACAAACTGATGAGCATCGTAAAGGTCACTCGCTCAGTACCAGTCTCTTCCAATATGATACAATATCAACTGTTGCTATTGATAGGCGAGTCGGAGTGTCTGAAGAATGCCCTGGAACAAGAGCAGGAATGTCCGTTGCGAGCGACCAATTCGATCAAGCTGTGCTCGGTTACATTTGAGCAACGACCGTGGCTACCGACATCTCTTAAGATCATCAGGAATAATTGTACGGACGCGGAAAATCCTCACTCCAACACTAGCGATCAATCTCAACAGCCGGAGAGTCAGCCTCTAGTTACGGTCAAATATAATGAAAGACAATCATCCCATACTGAGGTAGCTGACGCCTACGAAGGCTTGAAAAATATGCTCGACAATTACACCCACACATCATCGACGCCCTCGAAACAATCCGAGGAAGCTATTGTGACTGAATCTATGAACGTAAAAATAGTGCTGAACAGAAGCCAGGATGACGAGAAAATTGTGAGTTTTACAGACAAAGCAAGGGAATTCGGAGAATTTTTAGAGCATTTTGATTTGCCCCTTAAAATGGAAGATGCTGTAGCCGATATGCGCGAAGCTGTTAAGGAGGAGAAGTTTCAGCGAAAAAAGATTTCTGTAGAAGATTTAAATGTCGAGAAGATTAATGGTGAAACGGATGTCGTTAATAGAAGGAAACGATCAACGACAGAAAGAACGTTGGTCGGTGGAACCATAACGACGTCTGTAAATGATCCAGAAGTTCAGCTTTATGCCAATAAAGCGCTGCGCAAAGTTTCCGAGGAATCGGACGGGCCGAATGAGCCATTTATAGTGGAAATCATCGAGGCAAGCGTTCAGGTAGTCGCCGGTAAGCTTTATAAAATAAAAGCCAAATTAGGCACAAGTGATTGCCCGAAGGGCACCAAAACCAACTGCCAATTGCAGGCTGGAAGCGAAGTGAAAGAATGTCTAATAACGGTATGGTCACGACCGTGGATCGATCACGGTTCACCTGAAATAACAATCACATGTCCTCCATCGCCGACAAACAGAAAGAAGCGATCTCTGCGTGGCGCTTATTACAACCAAAAGATGCTGCAGATCGCTGAGGATGTGAGGAGCGAGCAGTTATTTAATAACTTCGTAGTAACCTACAATCGAACGTATTCCACACCGGAGGAGAGAAATCTACGATTGAGAATATTCCGCGAGAATCTTGGTATTATACAATTATTACGTAAAACCGAGCGAGGAACTGCTCATTACGACGTCAACATGTTCGCAGACATGTCACCTGAAGAATTTCGATCGCGTTATCTTGGCCTGCGACCGGATCTGCGATCAGAGAATGATATTCCTCTACGTGAAGCCGAGATCCCAGACGTCGAGTTACCACCTAAATTCGATTGGCGAGAGAAAAGCGTTGTGACTCCGGTGAAAGATCAGGGCATGTGTGGCTCCTGTTGGGCCTTTTCGGTCACGGGCAACATCGAAGGCCAGTACGCGATCAAGCACGGCCGATTGTTATCTCTATCCGAGCAGGAACTCGTTGACTGCGACGATTTAGACGAAGGCTGCAATGGTGGTCTACCGGATAATGCATATAGGGCCATCGAGAAACTAGGTGGTCTCGAATTGGAGTCGGACTATCCGTATGAGGCAGAGAACGAAAAGTGTCATTTTAAGAAAAATTTAGCCAAGGTACAACTGGCTTCTGCTGTCAACATAACGTCGAACGAGACGCAAATGGCGCAATGGCTAGTGCAAAACGGTCCAATCTCTATTGGTATTAATGCAAATGCCATGCAGTTTTACGTCGGTGGTGTATCGCATCCGTTTAAATTCCTCTGCAATCCCAAGAATTTGGACCATGGCGTACTCATCGTAGGATATGGTACAAGCGGTACATATCCTTTTCTCAATATAATCTTAACAAACTGCTGAATTGTTAAAAAAAACTTTTAAATGTTTTTTTTTAAATAAAAATCTAGAAAAATATTAAAATTAATTATTAATTATTATTATTATTATTTAATATTTAAATTAATTATTATTATTATTTTTAATTATTATAGTTTATGATAATTTAATAGAATTTTGTTTTTTTATCTATTTTGTTAATATTAAAAAATACAATAATATAATAATTATTCCAATAATATATATATAAAGTAAAATTTCACTAAAAATCAATATTCTTTTTATATCTTTTTAATTTATTTTGTCGAATATTCACTAAAATAATGTTAAAATCAATGAATGTCACAATACTAAATTTAATATTCTTTCAGATTATCCACTTTTCCATAAAAAGCTGCCATATTGGACTATCAAAAATAGCTGGGGAAAACGTTGGGGCGAACAAGGATACTACAGAGTTTATCGCGGAGATGGCACTTGTGGACTTAATACGATGGCCACAAGCGCTGTGGTCGTTTAATACTGAAATTACATGAATAAGTTTCATGACAATTAACTTATATATATATTCGTTATAAACGAAGTTATACATTAGACATATATATATATATATATATATCTTTTTTTACTAACTTTGAATATCGATTTTAGATTCATTCACCTGCCAAATATTTAATAAGTGCAACTTAATTTTATTTTAACAGTATGTATTATAGTATCCATTAAATAAGATTCAGTTCAATTTTTCAAGTATTTGGCAAGCGTATGAATCATCTAGAGCCATTTAATTATATATACACAAGAGTTTAATCAAAGCAAAATTTAATTTTTTGCATATTTATACTGAAAAGGAAACGATTAGTCGTTGACGACAATCCTATTTGTTGAAATATTTGAGACTATATAGTAATTTGCTAATATTCCAAATCTTTTGCAAAACAGATAATATATAAGATAATATATAATTAAGATATGTTATCATGTAATAATGTTGAAGAGTTAGAACAATTGAAAATATTAAATGTTAAATAGAACTTTGTTAAGTACATTTTAAAAGATAAAAATTAAGACAGTCTAACATCGATATATTTATGCATTTTGCAATTTGTAAGTTTAAAAACAGTTTGTTCAGCTGTTTTTTTAGAATTTTATAACGAAGTTCTAGCTTTGCATAAATTCTGGATAATCATTTTTTTATATAATTTGTTAATTCAGTTAAAGAGTAAAATAGAAAAAAAATTATTTATAAGAAAGTATCAATGAAATAAGAAAACAAGTAGTTGATCTTTATTGAATGCAATATAAAAAAAGGCAACTATATGAAACTATGTCAATTTAATATATCTGAAATGTTTAATATATTCGAGTAAATATATTCAAAACCAAAATTGGTGTTATTAAATTTTCAATAATATATGTATGTGAGTGTGTGTGTGTGAAAATGATGGTATGATGTTAAATTTGAAATTAATTTATAAAATTTTCTTAATTTGTACAAAGCTTCTTTATATTGAAACGTAAAATTTATGTAAAAAATAAATTATTTAATTCCATTGAATTGATTTTCAAAATTTCGAATACACAGATATACATTATTGAATAAGAAATCAAAACATATTTATAAATAATTGTGAAATTTTAAAATTGTGAAATTATGTCTGCATATTATTATTAATGGAAACTCATTCATTTATAGAACTAAATTATAATTGTGATTTAACTAACAATTATCAAATATTACCAAGATATAATTGATATACTTTATATATGCATTATAAGTAACAAAATTTTTATTTGTTGAAAAATCATTGAAAGTAATTTATTATGAAGAATATATTTTTCATAATAAATTACTTTCAATATCCTGTATTCATTAACAAAACTCGATAATACGACTTTGATAATAGGAATAAGTAGCAAAGTAATATCAAAATTTTGTAAAAATAGGAAAGATTAAGATAGCGAAAAAATAGGAAAGATTAAGATCTGTAACAATTATGGCATTTTCGCAAAAAGTAACAAAATCAATGTTTTGTAGAAATTTGATTCACTATCATTTATAGTATAGCCAATATGTTGCAATACATTGTAAGATATTAAACTTTGTGTATATTATGCAACAATTATTACAGGATTATAATTTATTAGGAGTCGAACATAATCTATTAAATTCATCTTCACATTCAGTAATCAGCACTGTGAAACTGTAATGTTCTAAAGTAAACACATATATATATCCTAAAATCTGTACATACCAGTAGCAGTTCTACTCTTGTCTTTTCAGTCAAAACTTAATTCTTTTTATATTAGACAATTCTTTTTTTATTAAATTATATTTTCCCGTAATATGACATGTATTTTAATTCTTCGTTTATAATTTAAATTAATGTAAAAACTAAAACAGTTATTAAACTTCAGTAATTATAATTTGAAGTATAAAAGATACAAATAACACACCAGGAGTAAAATTCTGCTAACAGGTGTACAGTTTATTCAATATACATGATAGATATTCATGCAATACGTCAAATATTGATACAGAAAGAGATTGAAATACAAGTTTTCGTTATGTTAGGATGCCGAGGTATTTTTAAATGTAATTAATAATTTTTCTGATGATTTCTAAATATCGCAAAAATAAAATACTAAAGAATGTACAGACACATAGTTAACAATAAGTTTCAAAAGTCTTAAGGGATTATACAGTACATATTAATAATAATTGTAAGATCCCCACTGATTGTAAGGTCCATAAGCTTGTGGCCCGCCTTGACCGTACTGCCAATTTTGATAATTAGCATAATTAGGATCCGATGGAGGTGGGTACTGTTGGTAACCTTGCTGATAACCACCTTGACCACTATATTGTCCACCTTGAAATTGTTGTTGTGACTGATAGGGCCCGCTCGGACTGCTGCTGTATTGGTACGAAGATTGTGAACCCACGGACGGAGAAGGTGGCACATTTGACTGATCGGTTTTTACTTTCTTTGGAGGCGAAGAATCGCTATAACACAAACATTAGATCATTCTTTATTAAAAACGTAATTTTAATATACTTTTAAATTTTGCAAATATAAATAAATAAATAAATATATATATATATATATATATATATATATATATATATATATTTTTAATCAAGGAATTTTAATTAAATAGGAATAATATATTAATTATATTTATAATAGTAATATTTATGTTTCAGATGAATCACTTTATTATATTATTTGATAAAAGTTGCCTAAAATTAATTTATAAGATAATATTTTTATTTTAACAAATACACTTACGTTTTATTGTCGTCACCTTTCGTCTTCTTTCTTTCTTTCGCTTGTTTGATGCATTTCTGAAATTGTTCATGAGCTTTCAACACTTGCCGAATATCGGGACTAAAATCCTCTAGAAATTCAACTTTACGTTGTGCGAAAAGTACTCTTTGTTCGAGATCCGCGTGTTCTCTTTCTATAAACATGTCCATGTAACCTACTATTTCTAAGGTATCGACTGGCGTTCGCTGCATTGCCAAATCTATTAACTGCAGGTACAGTCTAGGATTATCTTTGTCTTTATCTGTGGCCTATAAATAATACGACAGTAATATATTAATCACTAATGCAGACCTCTGTCGGTATATATGTAGATAATAGATAGAAAAAGTAATTTTATACTTAAACGTACCTTCATTAATACTTTAATCGCCTTGTCAACATCATTCTTAACTTTACATAGAAATCGCGCGTATTTCACGGCAATATTATTAGCGATTGTCCGATTCTTACTATTGCTAATGTAATTCTCATATAATGTACACGCTTTCTCCAAATCTGCGCGACGACGTTCCAAGTTTATTCGTCGATACGCCACTTGTAGCATATTTGGTAATGCATTGTCAATATTCTCTAATATAGCGGCAGCTTTTTCGAAGTTATCCTGACCTTCTTCAAAGATCGCCCACTGCAAATGCAAATTCGGTTTCTTGGGATGATGCACCATACACGCTCTCGAATATACGTCTCGAATTTTTTCTGTATTATCACCTTTCAATGATTCCAAGTAGCGCACAAACTGTACAAAGAAAAAAACAATATATATATATATATTTTTTTTTTTTCTTATAATATTACAGTTATATAACCGATACACATACACACATACATACAATGATATTATTTACTTACTCGCATCCAAAACTCGTCGTAAAGTGCACAAGCTATAAGACATCTCTCGAATAAAATAATTATTCGATTTTGATCCTTTTGTTCAATTTCGAAATCGAGATATTCCTTCCAGTTTTTCAACTGGCATCGTTCTAATGGTTTTACATGGAAATATGGTCTCTTTATCTGTTAATCATACAAACCATGCGATTTTAAATCATATACATTTTATAAATTAATTCCAATTTTACTTGTTCAATGCGATATCAATTTATTTGAATTTTTTTAAATTTGGAATATATTTTTTTTTTACTTACTATGCAAAACTTTGTAAAAGATTGACTTTTGTATTACAATGGATCCACATTTACTGCGTGAATAGGTAATTCTAGAACTTCAGTGAGAGGGATTGAAATGAGTTTTATTCATTTACAGCAATGTGAAACACATCAGTGCAATAACATTGAAAAGCCTAATTTTATTTATTATATCTATTACTTTTACTTTTTATGAATATGTATAATTGCAATTGAATATGTGATACGCACCCCTTCCTCATAGGACCATCTTGCTGCCACTGCATTCACGTTCGCCTTGTGCATTTTGCGTCTGCTGCTAATGATCTTCTCACGGATGGCTCGTGTTTCTTCGTCGGTAGGCGGTACTTCGTGGGGCGGCGGCTCCTCACCGGGTGGTGCATCATCAGCAGCGGATGTTGCGGTAGTGTCATCCGACTTGAGAAGAGCCTTCACTTCAGCACGCAGTGCAAGGAAATCGTCAACACTTAAGATACGATTCGGCAAATTGGACGATACGAATTCCTGGAATGCCTCGAAATGGGAGATGTAGCCAAGGGTCGGTGTCGACAGTAAACGATCATACAGTGCTGTTACTCTGCTCAAACGTTTCCCTTCCAATTCCCATTTTATATAGCTCTCCCAAAGACGATCAGATCTGTTTTACATAAAAATATTACGTTACTCGATTATTTCCTGCTAACCATTTATTAAAATTCTGTTCACTTGTTACAATTAATTAAAATAATAGAATGATAATTTAACTATTTTTGATAAAATCATATTGATTAATAAAAATAAATATTTAATTTAAATTTAATATTTATATTTAAATTATATTTTTAAATGCAAGTTTAGAAGAAATTTGTAAGCTTATTACCTGAATTCAAGCCCACAAGCTTGTATAGCTCTCTCATACTGCTCCCGAAGCTTTTCTTCATCCTTTTCATAGACGGTTTTACAGTGGTTGATGTAATGGAGCCATAGGTCGACACTTAGCGAAATAGCTTTCAAACCTTGATCGAATACCTGTGGTAATGGATTATCGGATCGTATTTTAGAACAGCTTACAACTGGG